TATATATATATATATATATATATATATATATATATATATATATATATATGCGTTTACTAAACTTACACACACTGCAAGTTTCTAGTCTAACCATCTATAAAGTTAGCATTTTGGCTTAGCATTGAAAGAAAGCTCACTTTTGTAATGAATAAACTGTCCCCTAAATAAAATTAGATTAATTCAAACTAAGCTAATATAAAGTAGTCGAAATAATTATTACAAAAAGAGCTGTGTATTGTAGTTGAGAAGGTCAAAATGTCAAAATGAATCAATTAAAGGAAATTAGAAACTATTTTCACGCGGCATTTAAGTTCCGCGTTGTCTAAATTTGAAGATCCGTTTTTATCCCTTCTTACGGTATTTTGAGCGAGGCTCTCGGAGCTAGTGAGAGAATCTTTCTATTTATTTTTTTGAAGTAATTCTAGCTCTAAGTTTATTGGATTTTTGCAGTCAAATTGGGTTTTTAGCAGAAAATTGTCAGAAATGCAACCAAACGGAAATGTTGATATTGAAATGGGTGCCGTACCAGCTGCTCAGGCACAGACTGCGAAAAAGCGGTTATCTGTTGAAAGAATATATCAAAAGAAGACACAGCTGGAACATATTCTTATCCGTCCTGATACCTATATTGGCACTATCTCTCGAACAACGACGACGATGTGGGTTCATGATAAATCGACAAATTCTATGATTCAGAAGGAAATTACATACACTCCCGGCCTTTATAAAATTTATGACGAAATTCTAGGTGTGCCTTTCTAAATTTTGCTTATCATTTCACTAGTGAATGCTGCTGATAATAAAATCAGAGATCCATCAATGAGTTGTATTAAAATTGATATCAATCCGTAAGTTCACTTTATTATCAAATATACTCATTCTTAGTGAGGAGAATCTTATCCGAATATGGAACAACGGTGCAGGTATTCCTGTTGTGCACCACAAAGTGGAGAATATGTATGTGCCCTCACTGATCTTCGGACACTTGTTGACATCAAGTAATTACGACGACACTGAACAGAAAGTCACCGGTGGCCGAAATGGCTACGGTGCAAAGTTGTGCAACATTTTCAGCAAGAAGTTCATTGTTGAGACATCCAGCAAAGACCACAAGAAGTGCTTCAAACAAACTTGGGTGGATAATATGACTAAGACATCGGAGCCAAAGATCAAACCTTCCTCTGGGGAGGACTATACCTGCATTTCCTTTTATCCTGATCTTGAGAGATTCGGTATGACGGAACTGGACGCAGATACAGTGGCTCTCTTTGAGAGACGTGCTTATGATGTGGCTGCTTCGACTCGAGGCGTTAAGGTTTTTCTTAATGGTGAAAGAGTTCCCATCAAAAGTTTCAAGGACTATATTGATTTGTATCTCAAGGACAAAGCTGAGGATGGTACAAATGTCCCTGTAAGTTGTCTTCTTTTTCCTCTGTCTATTGGTTTGAATAATATTGTCTTTCATGCCACTTAGTTTGTCTTAGTTGCATATTGGCATCATTTTATGAATATTCACTGATTGCCGTTTTGTTAGCAAGATCAGTCATTTTATTATCTTATTAGGTGGAGGTTTTCGTTTTACGGGCTTTGTGCTTCGTATTACTTATAGAATTGCTTGTTATTTTGGATAAAAGGTCGAACTTACTATCCAGTAAGAAATACTCGTCGAAACGTAACGTTTAATTATTTCGTTTTTTTTAAATTTCTTTTAGAGGATGCTATGTAAAGTTCGTTGGCATGGAAAATTGTTGAATTTGCAAGGATTAAAATTTTGTTTCATCCTGAAAAGACGGTCGTTTGATGGGTTGTGGAATTGTTCTCAAACGTAAAGGTCTTTCATTTACCTTACCATAGCTTAGTTAATTCAGTCAAACTGCAAAGCTGAGATTTTTTCATTATTTTGATGCAGATGTGTTTGGAGGTTGAATCCGTCTTCATTTGTTAATATTATTTATCAATGTGGTTGTTAATGGCCACTGCTGAAGTCGGTCTCATGCTTTCTGACCAAACATATTTTCCTTTAATAGCTTTTCTGTTGTAAATTTTCTTGAGCATGCTCAATCGGGTTTCAATAACTATTATTTACCCTTTAGGTTGTTTACGAAGTCGTGAACCCCCGCTGGGAGATTGCCGTGGCACCGAGTTCCGTTGGTTTCCAGCAAGTCAGTTTTGTTAATAGCATTGCAACCACGAAGGGCGGTCGACATGTCGATTACATTGCCGATCAGGTTGTCAGTAAGTTGGTCGATATAGTCAAGAAGAAGTCGGGCAAATCGGGTGTCGCCATCAAGAACTTCCAAGTTCGCTCCCACATGTGGGTTTTCATCAATTGTCTTGTTGTCAATCCAACCTTCGACTCACAAACCAAGGAATTTATGAGTCTGGAGTCTAAAAACTTCGGCTCTACTTGCCTACTCAGTGAAAAATTTATGGTTCAAGTCTCCAAATCGGGAATAGTTGAGAGCATTCTCTCCTGGGTACGCTACAAAGCTCAAGAGAAGATGGATAAACAGTGCCACAAACAGAAACATGCTAAATTGAAAGGTATCCCGAAGCTGGATGATGCCAACGACGCGGGAACAAAGAATTCAATTAATTGTACTCTCATTCTCACCGAGGGAGATTCAGCCAAAACCTTAGCGGTGGCTGGTCTCTCAGTGGTCGGTCGTGATCGATATGGTGTCTTTCCATTGAAGGGTAAATTGCTCAATGTGCGCGAAGCCCCGACACGTCAAATTATGGAGAATGCAGAAATCAACAATCTTATTAAGATTCTTGGTCTTCAGTATAAAAATAAGTATGAAACTCGAGAGTCTTTGTCGAACCTCCGTTATGGAAAGTAAGTTCTGTTTCATTATGTTAACGAATTACGAATGAGTCGCCCTTTTAAAGCAATTTTGGTTAAATTTATTAGCAATTTCAGCAAAAGCACATTTTTAATGTCTTGGGTCTGGAAAGTAAGGAAGAAAAAAGTGCTTTATGAGTTCTAGGGTACCCACACGAATCCTTGTTAGCTGCTTACTGTAGTTTTGAAAAGTTGGTGTTCTTTTGTGCTCTAGTGGTGAAGAGGCCATCGTTATGAATCAAGCCATGGCGTACGGAATGCGTTATTAACTGTACTTATTAACAGGTAAAAGATGATTACGGAGGTAATTAAAAAAACCAATCTTTTAAGTCTGTAATGCTGATACTTTGTCTGAAGTATGTATTTGTGAAAGTCAGAAATTGATGCTTATTCTAGTACATCTAGTGATATGTGTGGCATTGAATACGTCTCGTCGATATCAGTTTATTGTCGTGGAAGTCTCGCAAGACATTGACTTCAGGTTATTTAACCGCTCTGTAAATAGCCATTAACACTTATGCTACTAAACTTGAGAAGTCTTCCCCTTTCTGCCTGATATACAGAGGTACTTAACGTTTCTCTATGCTCTCCATTCAGTGTTCGTTAAGCAGAGTTCAATTGAGTGATTGATAGTTTTTATAGCTAAGTCATTGGATAACCCTCGGAGTACCATTTCCTACAAGGGCTAAATATCCCCACTTTAAATTTCTTTCTTCCCAGAGTCATGATAATGACCGATCAGGATCAGGACGGTTCCCATATTAAGGGCCTTCTTATCAGTTTCGTCCATCACAATTGGCCCAACTTGTTACGGCACAACTTCTTGGAACAGTTTATCACTCCCATTGTAAAGGCATTCAAAGGCAAACAGGAGCTCTCTTTCTACAGTATCCCCGAGTTCGAGGAATGGCAGAAAGCAACTCCAAATTGGCACACTTTCAGGGTGAAGTACTACAAGGGTATATGCTCGAAATAATTTCCTTTACCTGTTAATATTTGCTAGTAAGCTTTTGAGGATAGAAAGCAGAGCGCACTTTTAGTATTGATGCATTCAGAGTTGGAGGAGTTATGATCATAGGAACCACTACTAAGTACAGTAATCCCTCTAAAGTTGGACTTCACTGCTCTATGGAGTAGTATTAATTTCAGTAGATTCTTCATCAATCTAATGTTATTCAATATAATCGCGAAAAAAACTAAATTCAAGGAGCTGTAGAATAGTTGAGATATTGGATTTAAGAATGAGGGTTGGCTAGAAATCGAGGCTCTGATTCAGAATCATCTTGGTTCCTGAAATATCTGCTTTTTCCTTAAAAGCATAGTTGGTTGTATTTTATTCAGGCCTGTCGAATTTGAGGATTTGAGCCAATCGTTTTCTTGGTCTTAAGAACTGATTGGTCAGCTAATGAAGAGATTGGGCGTTTTTAAACTAGGTGCCTCCTTGTGGTGAGATGTTTACATCATCATACGTTCCAAAATGAATTTTAGTTCGTCTTGGTACGAATTCAATCGAACCCCATCAGATTGACTGACAGCGCCTAACATTTGGCAAATGACAGATTATTTGCTGAAGAATAATTTACGGATTTGTACGATCGATTATGTGCAGGGTTTTTGTGTGCTGGTAAGATACTGGAAGTTCATGGGGATGTTTCCCATCTTAGTCACGATTTTCCATACCCTATTTGCGATTTGTTGCTCGAAAAGACTCGCTTTGAGAGTAATTGGCATTTCGTAAAGGAATCCTTTCAGCGTCTTTGCCGTATAGAACGATTTAAAAGGTGACTAATTAGTTAAGTCGAGGGTTATGATTTAGGTATTTTTAATGAAGTTTTATGTAATAGCTTGTAAGTTGATAATGTAGCTTTTAGATCGCGGAGTTGATGTCAATCGAGGGCTGAGGGGATGTTGTTTTCCTATCAGCTACTTCTGGATACTGTTGTCCAAGATGAGTTCTGTAGAAGCTATTCACGTGTCGATCTAATCTCTTGCTTTACTATCCCTCTAGGTTTGGGTACATCTTCTAGCAGGGAAGCCAAGGAATATTTCTCTGATATGGCCCGTCATCGAATTCGTTTCAACTACAGCGGTCCCGAGGATGATAATGGAATCATGCTAGCCTTTAATAAAAACAAAATCAATGACAGAAAACAATGGCTAACATCCTGGATGGAAGGTAGACGCAGACGCTTGGAATTAGGACTTCCAGAGGATTATCTCTATGGTGTGGGTACACACGCTGTCACTTACCACGATTTCATCCATAAAGAGCTTGTTCTCTTTTCAAATATGGACAATGAACGCTCTATTCCCTCTTTGGTGGATGGTTTAAAACCAGGCCAGAGAAAGGTCATTTTCACCTGCTTGAAACGCAATCAAGTGAAAGAAATCAAGGTGGACCAATTGTGCGGTGCTGTCGCAGAAATGTCCGCCTATCACCATGGTGAAATGTCGCTGATGGGAACTATTATTAATCTGGCTCAGGATTTTGTTGGTTCTAATAATCTCAATCTCCTGCTTCCTATCGGTCAGTTCGGTACTCGATTGTCGGGTGGTAAAGATTCCGCTTCTGCCCGTTACATCTTCACGGTGTTGAGTCCCCTGACTAGAAAAGTGTTCCATGAAAACGATGACGCTATCCTCAATTACCTTCAGGATGATAATCAGAGGATTGAACCCGAATGGTATATTCCTATTATCCCTATGGTGCTTATTAACGGTGCGGAGGGTATTGGTACCGGGTGGAGTACCAAGGTTCCCAACTATGACACACTTGAGGTTATCTCTAATCTTCACCGTATGCTAGATGGCTTGGATCCCCGTCCAATGTTGCCGAGTTACCGAGGTTACCATGGCAAGATTGTGGAGGTGGGTGAAAATCGATACATCTTCTTTGGTGAGGTTGCTGTCTTGGATGATCAAACGGTGGAAATCTCAGAACTTCCAGTGAAGGTTTGGACTCAAACCTATAAGGAACAAGTGCTTGAGACCATGCTTAATGGGAGTGAGAAGGTTCCCGTCTCCATCACGTAAGTTATCTTGTATGTGTAGGTTTATTTTACTATCTTTGCACTAAATGTCATCACTTATTGCTAAAATTCAGTGTTGCGAGGTTTAAAATCTTTGATCTTTTGAGGTAAAGTAGCTAACTTACTTACCTCGGGTTCGTTCATTACTATTTATCTGACGAATCTTGGTTACTACGTGTCAGCTTTCTTTATTGTTGTTACCCATGGCAATGACTAGACTTATTCAATTTTTAATAATCGAAACGCCTCTAAAAGCGGACCAAGCAACTTTAATAAAATATGAAATGGGGAAATAGGTCTAAAAGCAATAAGTAGTTAAGTATTCTCATCAAGGGTCCTACTTCTTAATTATGGCAGTGCTGAGTTGCCTTATACTTATAAAAGTATAAATAATTGTATAATGCCGCGTTTTTGTCGCACAGAGACTATAAAGAATATCACACCGATGTTACTGTCCGTTTCGTTATCACAATGACCCAAGACAAGCTTCGTGAAGCCGAGACTGTTGGCCTTCACAAGTTCTTCAAACTCGCAGTTCCCTGCACCACAAACTCAATGGTTCTTTTCGATAAGGCTGGTTGTCTGAAACGCTACAACTCCGCCCAAGAGATTCTTCAAGACTTCTACACCCTGCGTTTGGAGCTTTACGACAAACGCAAGTCCTATTTAATCGGCATGCTCTCCGCGGAAGCCAGACGCCTTGAAAATCAAGCTCGTTTTGTGATGGAGAAAATCGATGGAAAGATTACTATAGAGAATCGCGCCAAAAAGGATTTGGTGCTTCTTCTGAAGGATCACAAGTACGATCCGGATCCTGTTAGGGCTTGGAAAGAGTGTGTGGATAAGATGGCTGCTATAGAAGACGCTGCCGCGGCTAGACAACAAGCTGGAGAAGCACCTGAAGAGGTTGCGGAAGGCGATGAAACACACGTCTCTAAATTGGCAACTGATTACAACTATATCCTCGGAATGCCTCTTTGGAGCCTTTCTAAAGAGCGCAAGGACGATCTCCTTGCACAGCGAGATAAGAAACGTGCTGAGCTGAAAGTCATCATGGAGAAATCCAATAAGGATCTCTGGAGAGATGATCTGAAGGAACTAGAGGCTGCTATTAAAAAGTACGAGGCGGATCGTGATAAAGAGTTGGAAAACTTCATTGAAACGTCAGAGAAGAAGGCTCTTAAGTTGGCATTAAGTCAATCTAAAGGTCGCGCAACAGCTACTAAGGGTGCTGCCTCGGCACTCACAAAAGGTATGCGTCAGACCCGGCCTGATCCGAACGGTAGGCGTGTGGAACCGGTGATTGATCAAGAGATGGCAAAAAGAACTGAGGCTCTGGTTTCGAAAGACGCGAAAAGGAAGGCAAAGACCAATGCTGCTGCAAATGGTGCTGATGGCGATATTAGGGCAATAGAAGATGACTTCCTTGCTGATTTGGGAGATGAAGATAGTCAATTCGGAGGCGCCGAACCGCCACCTCTTTTCAAGAGACTTAGTGCTACTCTCTCTGACAACAATAATGCTGCTGAAATCCGTGATCCTTTAGTAGTATCAAAACGCGGAGGAAGAACAGCTAGAGCCGGCCGTGGTCGCGGAAGAGGTGGTATCAGTGCAGGCAAGTTCTTATTTTTCATAAAATTTCCGGTTATCTAAAAATGGGTTACGCGGTAGTAATGTCAACGAAGTCAGGAATTACGAGTTTAGTCCTCATCAGCGTCATATCCAGGTAATGAAGTGGCCGCCGCCACTGGTCGGACCTGGCTACTTAACGGTGGTAGAAAGCGAGTTTCTCACCAAGTAGCCCCCGAGATGATTGTTGGAAAAGGGTTTCATAGATGGGCTTAAAATTTTATTTTAGCTGAGAATTTGATATGTGGAGTTTAGAGCTTTTATTTATTCACTACTCTCAGATCGGAGTACGTGTTCCAGCCCTCCTGACACTTGGCTATTCATTTGGCTCTACATCGGACTCCTTCAAGATTGGACACCAATTCCCCTCGTAGTATCCAAGGGATAACGTGTTAATGCCGTGATTGAGGTTGACAACTTGATTTGGAAAGCGATATACGAGAGGCCATTTAACTTCATCGGTTGAAGAATTTTATTCTTTGATATTTTGATGTGCACTTCGCTTCGTTTGTGGCGGGTTTAAAATGTTTCACAGTAAGACAAGTGGTTAGACAAATCCAAATTTATACACGACCGCTTTATTTCTTTGCGGGAACGCGGTTCTACGAGGTCAGTCTTATCTGCCTGCTACTTAAAGGCATTATTGAAGATGAAGAAGAAAATCGGCAATATTTTAGATGCAGCCAAGTGTTTGTTCATTTTTTCATAATGCACCACATATTTAGGGGCTAATTCTCTTTCCTCGGTATGGGTTTTTTTCTGGCGGTTTACCTTAAATCCTTCTAATCAAAATCTTTCTTTTCGAATAGAAGGAACAGGAATAACAAGGAAGCTGACACAGAAGAAGCTCGCGTTTGATACTTCTACGGAGGGCGCTGATGGAGAAAATGGCAAATCTGCTCCTCCTAAAAAGTCCGGTGGGAGTAAGTAGTATTTGCTTTATAAGTACTATATATCACGGTCAATTGGTTTATTTATCAGCGTTGAAGGTTTTATGCACAAAGCATTGCCAATCAGCTGTGTTATGGCAGCCAATTGAATTGAATCTATAATTGCGTTAGATCCGTCAATAAAAGTACCTTAGGGCCAGATCAAGTTGGGTTCAGATATGTCTTCCTAAAGACTATCAAGATGCAGTATCATTTCCCAAATCGGAAGACCACGCTCCGAGCGAAGAGTGAAGGTGCATATCGAACCACTGTTCGGAATAAGAGAGGAAAGTAGGGGAAAAGGAGGTATTCGGATTTTGAAGAGTTGGTTTAGCTTAAGTAGAAATTAGGGTATAGTAAAGAGGTTCAATTATGGTAATCTATTCGAATTTGACAGTTCTATAGTTCTCTTCGTGAGCGGCCAATCAGAACATATCATCTGACAATTAGAATGCTGTGGATAAAGTGACTAATGATAGGGAAGTTTCTTTTTCTCTTGTTTTATAATTTACTTAATTTTACCCTTTCTAACAGTACGAGGGAAGCGGGCTTCGCCAAAGAAACCTCGAAAGAAACGGGACGTCTTTGAAAGCTCTGAATCTGGAGATGAGTCTGATGAGGACTTCTCAATTTCGGGAGAGTCTGATTATGCACCTTTCAAGGGTGGTGAAGGTAAATGGAAATCTATCGATTTTATTTGGTATTTTACTATCTTTATCGAACATTGTTGGGAGTTAAAACGTTAACATTTATAAGTGCTTACCTCATTTTTTGGATAACATGAACAATCACAGATTTAAGAGAATGTCAAATGTTCATCGGCGGGGTGTGCGATAGACTTACCTCCACGTGGTGCACCCTGGGCAACGTATACTCATACGGCAAAAAAGTCTATTAACTGGCAGTTGACTCCTGACTTCAAACTCTCATGGCCTGCCGCAAGTCATATTCGATCCCTTCCACAGTACTCACCTTTACTTTTTCTCTACCTTTGTGTCTGTCTATCTCTTTTAAATCTGTGAATCGCTCTTCTGTTCCCCACCCCTCGACTTTCTGCTACTTTGATGAACCTTCCCTCTGTGAGGCCCGAAGTCAGCTAAATGGCTAATGATAGTTATCAAAACGCCTGCCATTTGAAATAAATAAATAAATGTTCATCGGCTTACAGTGGACGCGACCACACTTCTAAGTCAATCAGAAGAGCAGTTGAAATATTGGTGGGTGGAGGTGGGGGTGGGGAGTGGGGAAGAGAACTGACACTATTTAGATGAGATCTAAGGAAAGAAGAGAGAATCGTCCTGGTGAATAAGTGACAGGCGTGTATGTGCTACTGGAAATAGAAAGACAATTTTCTGCTTTCCACCTGGACGAGCGCGTGCTTAAAGTTTGAATATAGACGTATTTTTTTTTAATGAGGCGTCATCGTTATGGATAAATTAGAATCGATGGACTTGTCTAGATATGAAAAGTACGAGTTTGAATCCTAAGGGCGTAGAAACAAAAACCAACGTATTTTGTTAACTTTCGCAAACGTTCTTGGTCGTTCTTCAATCTTTTCATGTCAAATTCAACTCATCTCTCAGGACGTGTGAGTTTTATGTAAGTTGTTAACTGCCAAGTTGTCTATTGTGGAGACTAGTTGAGGATCACTTGCGGAATGTAGTTTGCTCGTTTGTGAGACAGCACAACCTTTACCTGTTCTTGTTGGTATTGTTTCACTTTGTGTCTTTAGTTCCATTATGATTTTAAAATGTCAGCGTTAAACGGGGAGTATTCTCTTTAGCTAAGACGATTTCCCTGGCAGAACGTATTCGCACTCAATCCTCCAGACGCACTGCAGCTGAAGCAGCGAAAAAATTTGCCATGCTTGATTCTGACAGTGAGGAACAGGAGGAGAGTGAACAGGAGGTCTTCACAGTGGTTGATCACGGCCAGGGCAATAAGGACCTCGATCTGCCTCCTGTTAGCTCACTTCCTTCAACTCAAGACTCGCAACCAAATTCCAAAGAGAAATCCGACACTGATGCTGGACCATCGAAATCGGCGTAAGTACCTGATTTTGCCAAATTAACTCCACTTGGAAGCTTTTTGTATAAGTCTTTTTTTTCCGACTTAACAGAACAGAAAGAGGACCTTAGCCCTGTAATTGAGGAGCCATGATCATTGCTTAGTGGTTAATTTCGAACCTTAGTTGCTGGGTAAAGGGGTAGGAAGTGATTAACCACATTTAGGACCGAGTGATGAGTCAGAAACAGGGCGAAATGGTAGTGAAGGAAAACTGAGGAAAAATAACAGTAAAGAATAAAGTAAGTGCATTGAGATATCCTCAAGCTGCTTCTAACTTTAAAGTGATTTACTTCTTTTCACAGTTGGCCAATATCCTACAGCAAGTCAGCGGTTACAGAGGCTTCCAAGAAGACGTCCACACGAGGGGGCCGTGGAAGGAGTAATGGAACAACTAGAGGAAGGGGGAGAGGAGCTTCAAAATCGACCACCACCACTACTACAGTTTCTAAACGCCCACGTCTGAATGACAGTGTCGATGACGCTGATGATATATTTAACCCTGGTAGGTTACATTAGAGATCTTGGTCTTAGAGCTTGGTGTGGTAGTCGAAGTTTCCGACAATTTTCCATAAATGAATAGCTCATGAATGAGCGTGTCCAACGAGGTAGGCTACGATTTTGTTATTATGAAATCGTTTTTTATCTCTGCTGCATATCGTATTGGCCAATCATAGGAAATCGTTTCTAATCGGCCTATGTGCAATGAATGGCTTGAGTTTTCGATCTGGTTTACTCGTGTCACAAGGATGGGACTTGCCTAAAAGATAATTTCCAATTTGCTAATCATGTACTTACGATGAGCGTTGTGTGGAACTCGATTTTAAAGACACGCGGGATTAATTTCATATGATATTCGTGCTTGTTCCGATAATGGAATTCAAGTCACATGCTTAATTTTCCTGATTTGCTTAGTCGGAGTTGAACCGAAAGTAGCCTTCTATAAATTCTCTGTCCTTCTTCTTAATTAGCCAATGCGGGTTTCTCTAAGTCTTATTGAATCAAATTTCCTAATTCTCTATATTTGGTGCTTTTAATCAGTTGGCTTTTAACTTGTTTATTCAGTTAATATTTCAGCACCGAATCCTTACTACGTCATTTGTTTATTTCACTAAATTTAATTATTCTCTTTCAGATACCACAGACGAAGATGAATCTGATGCATTTGATGCAAATCGAAAGGTTGTGCCCTTCGGCAAACGAAAGAGGAAGCTGGATTCGGATAGTGATGAAGATTTTGTGCCGGAATAGCTGCATATTTTAAGTTGCAGTGATAGGGCGGCATCCTGTGCTCATGCTATGCTTCTATATTCCCACCTGAATTCGTTTTTTTCATATTTCATTGGCATTTATTGTTGTGGTAAATCTATTTGTAAATTTGAATTTGTGGTTTTTAATTTCGTTTGGTGCCTTTCTTGCTTCGGTGGGCGGTGTCTATCTCGAGTTATTTTTTCCTTCATACTTCGACGATGGATTTGGCGAGATGAGGTAGAAAGTGCGTATTATAATGCGGGTGTTTACGGAGAATTATTTAACTAAAATGTGCTGATAGCTAAGTTTGACCTACGCTCGCGAAGTATTTATTTATTTCAAATGGCAGGCTTTATTATTTTTATCATTAGCCCTTAAACTTTGACTTCAGCTTCCTCCAAGGGTGGGGGGTACATGTATAGCAGTTAATTAATAGCAATTCATTAGCTTTCTTCTTGCTTCCTAGTATCTCTGGCTTTCCATCGTTGTCTTTAGGGGGTCTTCTCCATTTCCCCCTGTAGGTCACATAGAGGGCATGTGGGTTGAGTGTATACTCTCAATCTGTGAAGGTGTTTTGCCAAGCAATCGTGTCCGGTACGTAGTCTAAACTCAGCAACGGCTTCGATTCTTGGCCAGTCGGCTATGTCGGAGGGTGCCACTGTCCACTGTTTCTC